GCCAGTGCCAGCCGCAGCGGCTTGTGCAGGCTCAGTTCTCCTCCCAGGGCAGGGCTGCGGGTACATGGATCAGGTCCACACCTCGCACCCTCTCCCTCCCCAGGCTACTCCCTTCCTGGCACATGTGGCGGTGCACAGCTCCCGGGGCCACGCTCCAAAACTTGGAAATTATCAAGACAGATCTCCAGAAAACTATCAAAAGCTTGACCTGCAAATCAAAGCGTCACTTAAACACAAGATCATGTTCATCTTTGATTTTGTTTGCCTTCCCCATCCATCTCCCCTCCTTCCCCAGGTGTGCCTCTGCAGCCGGGAGGCTCCATGCGAGTCGCCATTTGCTGTTTCCAGGGAGAAGGGGGATCTTGGCTCCCAGGTCGAGCTCCAGCCATGGCCCCCGTTATCCTCCAGCAAAGGACAAAGCAAGCAGGACCCAGCCCAGGGATGCATGCGGAGCTGCTGAGGTCAGGGAGTGGCTGACACCACCCTGTGCCGGCAGAGGGCCGGTGGCTCCGGTAGCATCTCCTCCCTCTGCCCCCCAGGCTCGGGCAAGGGGGGAACCCTGAGGGGCAGAACTGTCAGGAAGGTCAGGACCCTGCCTGCGGGGCTGCCTGAAGGCCAGCACAGCCCCAAAACCCTCCTGTCCCCCCTGCACCTCCCCATGTGCTGCTACCAGCACATTCTCTGCTCCTTTGGCCCCACAAGACACCTTTCCTCTCCCTCCCCTCCATGGGCACTGCTCATCCCCCACCTAACCCATGCCTGTTAGCTCCCTTGCACCAATCCTTCCGTCCATCTATTCCCCTATTTCCCATGCATTTCTGACCTGCCAACTCTCAAATACCCTGACATCTGCAGTTCAGCAAAGCCCACCCTGAACCCCCACTTCCACATGGCCTTTTCCTCCCCCCTCCCCTCGCAGGGGCTTTGCATGCAGTCACCCATTCTGCAAAACAGCCTCCGTGGGTTCAGTGAGTCGGAGCCACCCACAGCCCAGCCGACCGCGGTGCTTTCACCCGTAAGAGCTTTCCCTGGATGCCAGCTCCAAGGCACAACTTGCCTTTTCCCCTGGACGTGGGGGGGACAGAGAGGGCACCCCTTGAAACCTGCAACAAACAGTCCCCGAGGGGCTCTGCTCTGCCTTACCACCCTGCTGTACCCCCACCTCCACCCCAGGGCCCCCCACCCAAATACCTTCAGAGACAAAACCCACCCTACGCCGCCCTGCAAAGCCCTGCTCGATCATGAGCACTGCCCTTCTCAGCCAGCCAAGAGGCACGAGACGGCGTCCGACAGCCAAAACCAGAGGAAAAAGGGGGAGCAAGCAGGCAGGGAGCTGAGCCCCCTCACTCTGTGCCATGCCTACCTGCTCACACAAGGAGACTCGCACCTTATTTCACCCCCCCGGTTAATCAACACAGTGAAATTAAAGCAAGCTGGACGCTAAAGAGCGCAGATGA